GAAAATCTTCAATTCCTGAATTCGAATCACCGATATGGATTTATTCGAACGAACAAAGATTGATCTCGAAGCTTCTCAATGTTGATTCGGAAAAACATATCTCAATTATAGAGTTCATGCGAACTCCGTGGTTCCGTAAGAATTTAACTCGCCGACTTAGTGGGCTTCACAAAAATGATGTGGGATTAATACACCAAGTGTATCACCGTTCCCTGACATTCATCTTAAAATCTCATTTGGTGGAAAATTCACATTCATTTCATCACCATCAAAAGCGACACTGTACTTTTTGAAAAATTCAAACTAAAGCAAATTTTGGGTAAATAACCTCGTAAATCATGAATCAATAGCTATAGAAACCTCCAAAATGAGCATGAGAAAAAAAATTGTATAGACCCTTAATAACATATTTCAATTATAAAAAATCAATGAAATGGAAAACGAAATACTAATTTCTAAAATTCACACAAATATATGATTTACAATTAAAAAATTTATGATTACAAATCTAATAGAAGATGCACACACAAATTCACATACGTTTGATGTAACACCCGAAACCCGCATCCCGCAATACGAGTTGCGTCACATGGACAATTAAAATAAAAACTCAATTTCCAAAAATCCGCGGGAATTTAAAACTTTTCTTTTCAGAGTTAGCGGAAGAAAACACTCGTATATACATATATGATACATTATTCGCAGTTATAATTATACATAACCGAGTGGTAGTAAAACATTATTACAAACTTAAAAGTTTACCACCGATATAAAACAAACCATTCCCCGGAATATAAATGTATTAAAATACATAATTATACATGATCGGTACTGGTAAGCTGCCCAGGTCTCCGATGTCCGCTCCTCGGCTACTGTTGCTCACGACCTGAAATATTGCGTAACAACGTCCTAAGCTAATTGCTTAGAGAGTGAACTCGGGCGTAACCCGGAGTTCTATTCTCATGGAACCAGGGAAAGCAAATACATATATAAGGTGGGGAAGGTTTGGCTCGCCCTGTAACAACCCGTAAATTAAAAAAATTATTAAAAAAAATGATGATGACGATCGATCGATCGACCAAACACGATCGACCGATCGTCGGTCGGAATACAAAGTGACAACGACGACCATTTGACGAAAAATTCCACGCCGCCGCTACCAACTCCGCACTCCTATCTCCAGTCCCACACGGTTTTGGCTTTCTGCCAATAAAACGAGTCTTCGTTCCTCTCTTTCACAAGATACCGAGAGAGAAAGAGAGGCGTGTCAAGCCTCAAACGGAATCCTTGTGGCCTCCAAACGGTATCAATAGACTCCTCCCGCAGCCACAGTGTCACCAACGCCGAAAACGTCGACCGAAACGGTCTGAAAGTGAGTGGCTCGGGTTTTGTTTGGAATTTCTGTTTTCACCGTTTAATGGTAGAAATCGGTATTTTGCGTAAATTTCGGGTATAGAAACGATGGGTTAAGGTCTGGAAA